GCGCACGCGGGGCGCCGCGTTCGTGATTTTTCTGGCCGTTTCGCTAGGGACATCCTCGACATTCTGAACATCGGTGGCACCCCTCACGCAGATCGTGACGTCAGGGTCCACAAACACAAGGGAATTTCAACATGTTAACGTAAAACCTTCAAAACCACATGGTAATTTCAATCATTTTGACCCCGATTCTCAGAGAATGGCGGTTTCGCCTGAAACATCCTCCCACAATCGAGCCCCGACGTACCCTCTGGTACCCCAGACCCCGCCTCGGAGCCTCCTGGGGGCCTCCTGGAACCTCTTGGGGCCTCCTGGGGCTTTCTGAACCTTCTGGTACCCCAGACCCCGCCTCGGAGCCTCCTGGGGGTCTCCTGACACCTCCTGGGGCCTCCTGGGGCCTTCTGCGGCCTCCTGGAGCCTCTTGGGACCTCCTGAAGCCTCCTGGGGTCTCCTGGGGCCTCCTGAGGCTGCCTGGGGCCTCCTGGGGCCTCCTGGGGCCTCAGAACTACATGCACACACAGAGACACAAATCACGCCCAACACATCACACGCTAGACACACATAACACACAACACCTACAACGCACGAAAAGCACGCACAACACAGAGCACACATCACATACGCACACACCCACACAACACTCAGAATCCTGGGGCCTCCTGGAGCCTCTTCTGGTATCCAAGTCGGGCCTCCTGAGGCTTCCTGGGGGGGCCCTGGTACACACATCGCAAGGTGTGGCAACCCCACTTGCGCTCGAGTGCGACTTCGCTGTTGCATTTCACTCCTGCTTCAACCGCCCCTTCAGTTTGTTTTTATGAGCCTGGGCACACACGTGCCACTTATTCTCATACGCACCTCTCCAAGGGAGTAGAGCTCAGAGGCGATTAATGCGTACGCGGGGCGCCGCGTTCGTGATTTTTCTGGCCGTTTCGCTAGGGACATCCTCGACATTCTGAACATCGGTGGCACCCCTCACGCAGATCGTGACGTCAGGGTCCACAAACACAAGGGAATTTCAACATGTTAACGTAAAACCTTCAAAACCACATGGTAGTTTCAATCATTTTGACACAGATTCTCAGAGAATTGCGGTTTCGCCTGAAACATCCTGCCAAAGCCGAGCCCCGACGTACCCTTTGGTACCCCAGACCCCGCCTCAGAGTCTCCTGGGGGCCTCCTGGAATCTCCTGGGGCCTCCTGGGGCTTTCTGAACCTTCTGGTACCCCAGACCCCGCCTCGGAGCTTCCTGGGGGTCTCCTGAAACCTCCTGGGGCCTCCTGGGGCCTCCTGCGGCCTCCTGGAGCCTCTTGGGACCTCCTGAAGCCTCCTGGGGTCTCCTGGGGCCTCCTGAGGCTGCCTGGGGCCTCCTGGGGCCTCCTGGGGCCTCAGAACTACATGGACACACAGAGACACAAATCACGCCAAACACATCACACGCTAGACAAACATAACACACAACACCTACAACGCACAAAAAGCACGCACAACACAGAGCACACATCACACACACACACGCACACACCCACACAACACTCACAATCCTGGGGCCTCCTGGAGCCTCTTCTGGTATCCAAGTCGGGCCTCCTGAGGCTTCCTGGGGGGGCCCTGGTACACACATCGCAGGGTGTGGCAACCCCACTTGCGCTCGAGTGCGACTTCGCTGTTGCATTTCACTCCTGCTTCAACCGCCCCTTCAGCTTTTTTGTATGAGCCTGGGCACACACGTGCCACGTATGTATATATATATATATATATATATATATAGATAGAGGTGTGTGTGTGTATATATATATATATATATTGTAATGGCCTCCGGCCAGTGCCGCCGATTTGGGGGGCCCCAGATTCGGTGATCTTCATGTGGCCTCCTCCCTCCTCGATTCTTCCGGTCCTCTTTCTTCTCTTCTGGGGTTGTGCCTGGAGCGGTCTTGGGGGGGTCGGAGAGGGTTCTGAGGGGATGGTCCTGGGGGCGGTAGCGGCTAGATCTGAGAGGGGTCCCTGGGACCCCCCGAAACATCTTGGGGATGCGCAAATCAATAAGAAAACGCGAGATAGGGGACCGCCCCCCCCCTCCCCCCCTTCCATGGGGGTCTGGATGCACAAATCATGAAGAAAACGCCAGATGCCGCCCCCCCCCCTCCCCTCCTTCCCCGGCAAAGCCACCCCAGCGACCCCCCCCAAACAGAGCTGAAGCTCTTGCTTCGGCTCAGAGCTGAAGCTCTTGTTGAGACTCCTTGTAGTTCATACGCCGGATCGGCGGATATATATATATATATATATATATATATATATATATTCACCCGACGCGTCCCTAGAGCCTCGCCAGTGGCACTGCTCCGGATGCGGCGCGACCAACCGCAGCAAGGCAGCCTGCCCTACCTGCGGCATGAAGAGGTCCTACGCCGCGATGGCGCGCTCGACGGCAGCATCTCCCCCAGCTTCTACATCCCTTCCCAAGCCTGGCAACCCTGTGCGCGCCAAGCTCGAGGAGGCCGCTGCTGCGCTGGTGGCCGCGTCGCCGCCGACCCCCGCACCTGCCCCTGTGCAGGTGCCCGCGCCGCCGCCCGTGCAGGTGGACGCCAAGGCCGCCCGCGCCAACATCGCCACGCTCGAGCAGGCGCTGAAGGCTCTGCCTCCTGGGGACGTTTTCGCTGCTTCCCGCGCGGCGATTCTCGCCGACATTGAGGCGGAAAAGGCAGGCATCCGCGACCTCAAGCCGCCCGGGGCCCGCCTCGACGAGGCCCGTGCTGCGCTTCGACGGGCCCAGGCCCGGAAGGAAGAGGCGAGCAGGGCAATGGCCCTCGCGACAGCAGCCATGCAGGCTGCCGAACAGGACAGGAGATCCAGACGTTCCAGGCCCACGTCGAGGAGCTCGAGCGCTCCATCGCCGCACATGGGGAGCCGGAGCCCCCCGCGGGCGCGCCTCAGGAGTCGGCCGATCCCACCCAAGCCCTGGGCGCGATCACTGTCCAGCTCAACTCGCTCATGAAGACGCTCAAATCCGACGTGTACGTGAACCCTGCCCACGCGCAGGAGGCGGACGCCCACGTCCAGCACCTGCTGACCGGACTCGCGCAGACCATCAAGATCGCGGAGGGGGCCAACGTGCCGCGGCGCCTGAACGGCAAGCAGGCGCCCATGGACACCTCCGACGGCCTGGAGCTCAACCGGGTCAGGCACCATGGCAAGCAGCCGCCAAAGCGACAGTCCACGCTCTTCCAGCACGGCATCGTGCGGAAGACTGTATAGTCAAAAGAACTAAGATCCCCTGCGCTCGACGTGGCCAACCCCATGGGTTGCGAGCGGCAGGTCAGCGTGGCCACTGGAAATGCCAGCACACTCTACCCTAAAGAATGCTCAATGGCTGAGACCAGGGGCTCATTCGACCTCATGCTTGGCAAAATCCAGCCCCTTGAACTGGATTGCGAGAAACTTGGCATTGAGATTTTCTGCGTCCAAGAGGGGCGCGCGCCAGCGCAAGAAGTACGTGAAGGAGTTCACTACATCATGTACGCTGGTGCGGCCGACGCGCGCGGAATGTCCGGCTGCCAGATCTGGATCGCTCGTTCTCTGGACTGGCACTTGCATCTGGTTCGCCACGTCGGCCCCCGGATCTCCCTTGCCATTGGCAAGTCTGGTAAGCTTAACACTGGGATCATCGTTATTGCCGCGCGTGCCCCGACTGAGGCATCGGCGGCGTCGGTCAAGGACCCGTTTTGGGACGAGCTTGATCGAGCCACGCTGGAGGCCAAGTGCAACTTCCCTGCGTATATTTGCGTTTCCGGCGTTGACGCCAATAGCCGTGTTGCGCCTGATGACCGCCATGTTGGCCCCTGCGAACCTGGCGTGGTCACCGACAACGGTCTGCGACTCATGCAGCGCATGCACATTTGCGAGTCCATGACAACCAACACGCGCTACCCAGCCGGGTACACGTGGCAGTCCAAGCACGGGACCACACGCAGGACAGATTACGTTCTCACTGACCTTCGACACGCTGGAGGCCTCATCACGCCGTACGTCGCTGCTGATGTCGTCCTCTCCTACACCCCGACGGAGGACCACCGACTGGTCGTCGCCTCCCTGCTTATTCCTCGACCTCGCAGCGGCGGTGGTGAGCCCGCGCCACTGCGGAGGGGGCGCGTTAACAAGGCAGCCGCTGCTGATGAGACCAAGTGCGAGGCGTTCCAGTCCCGCATGTGGGGTTACCTACCCCGCTGGGGGTCACGTCTACAGCATTGGTTGCGCACTTCACCGAGCACGTCTACAGTTCTGCCCTCCGGGTGTTCGGCTCCTTCAAGAACACCCCCCGGCAGCCGTGGATCACCGCCGCGACGTGGGCCACCGTGCGCCGATTGGCGCCGCTCCGGCGTCTGGCCAGCACCGTGCGGCCGGTGGCACATCGTGCTCATCTCCGAGCTGTGCTGTGCGCCTGGGCTGGCCAGGTCCATCAGGAGTTCGACCCTCTCCGGCCGGGAATGGATGGCCGTCTCGGCTGGCGCGCGGTTTGCGTTCTGTCGGAGGCCCGCAGACGCGCGTTCAAGCTCAGGCTGATCTCCAGTGCGCTCTGGGCGGCGGCCGCTCGCCTCCAGCAGAAGATCAAGCCGTCTGTGAAGGCTGATCGGATCGCTCATGTCGTGAAGTCCGACGGCCGCCTGACCTCGTCCGAGCTGGAGCGGCAGCAGCGCTGGTTGGATCACTTCACTGATTTGTTCGCTGGCGCGCCTCTGACGATGGACGAGCTGCAGAAGATTCCGGTGGCCGCCCCAGTCGATCGCCCTGGCTCGAGCGTATGCCCCGAGATTACGCGCCAGGCTGTCGCCGCTCCGTCCAACAATCGCGGCGTGGGCAAAGACGGGGTGTCCGCTGAGATCCTGAAAGCTGGCGGTTCGGCTTTGGCCGTCAAGCTCAGCCATGTCTTTCGCCGCGTGACGGCAACCGAAGATTGGCCCACCCAGTGGCTTGGCAGCAAGATCTAAGAAGTGCACGAGCACAAGGGGCCAATGGACATTTGCGACGAGTATCGTGGCATCAACTTGGACAACCACATGAGCGAGGCGTACAAGAACGCGTTGTATGACGAGGTCAGCGACCACTACGAACAACACATGCCTCCATCGCAGTATGGAGCTGTCTCTGGCCGAGGTACCGATCTGGCCATCCGCGTCGAGTTGAGCTTCATCGACTACTGTAAGCTGCATGGTCTCAGCCATTTCATTTTGTGGGTTGACTTGTCCAAGGCTTTCGATCGCGTCATACGCGAGCTGGTCCTCGGCATCCCTCACGATGTCACCGGCCCCCTTGAGCGCTGACAGTCGCTTGGTCTGTCCGCTGCACAGGCCGAGTGGTTCTTGCAGCAAGGGGGCGCCCCTGAGAAAACCATTCGGCTCCTGAAGAACCTGCATGCGAAGAGCTGGATCACGCACGGCGACATCGACTCTGCAGTCAGCATCCGCTTGGGAGGCAAGCAGTGCTGCAAGTTCGGCGGCGCAGCTTTCAACGGCGTCTACTCCGTCGGCCTGGTCATGCTCAGGGACGAGCTGCTCGACGTTGGCATTGCGCTGCGATTGCACTAAGACTATGGCAATCACGCGTGCTGGCTCACTTTTCCCCCAGAGGCCAGCTGGCTGGAAGGGGAGGTCTCTGTCATCGACGTGACCTTCGTAGACGACGAGTGCTTGATGCTCAGCGCGCCCGCCCCGCGCGTGCAGGACGAGCGCGTGGACGTCCTACTGACCAAGCTCACATCATCGATATTCGACATGCTGAATTTTTCCATGAATTGGAAGCCCGGCAACACTAAGTGCAGCATCGTATACCGCGGCGCGCGGTCCGCCGAGCATTACCGGCGACGTCGACGAAGCCCAGGCCAATCCTTGGCCGTGCAGGTTCCCGGCCGTGACGAGAGCATCACAGTCGTCTCCGAATGCAAGCACCTCGGGGGCGTGGCCTCCGGTACGGGCCAGGTTGTCCCTGAAGCCCGCGCTCGGGCAAAATCCGCCTTGGCCTCTTATGGGCCTCTGTCTTTGTGTGTGTGTGTGTTGGCAACGACTGTATAGATGTTGCAGAAAGTCTCAGCCTCGCGCATTCTTTAGTGTTTTCTAGGCTGGTTTTTCAACTGCCATGTTCGAGTCCTCTCTTCGCCTGCTTTGAGAGTTTTTAACGCACCGTACATGCGTGTTCTTAGACGTATCTTTGGTCTCTGCCGGTATGGCTCCACGGAGTCCGACTTGAGCGTGAGAACGGTTCATAAGCAACCATCGATCGATTGCATTCTGATGCGGAAGCGGTTGATCTACTTCGCCAGGGCTGTGCGGTCAGGCCCGCCTGAGCTTTTTGCTCTGCTTGGGGCCCGCAAGGGGGACTCCGTTATCCCCTGGGTGGCCCAGCTTCGGGAGGATCTTCGCTGTCTGTGGCGCATGTCTGCTTTGTGTTCTCGCCTCGCCGACCCCCAGGTTGATGGAGCGCCGTGGATACAGATGATGGTAGGCCAGCCCGCCCAATGGAGCCAATCGGTCAAATGCATTCATTTTTCTTCCTCGCTCTGCGACTCCGGACCTGGAGCTCTGCCTGCGTCTAGCCCGTACTCCGCAACGCACTCGTGCACAACGTGCGGGATGTCTTTCGCCACCAGTCGTGCTTTGCGGTCGCATGCCCGTGCGAAGCACGGAGCGCGTGCCCCGCAGCGCGAGTTTTGCCTTGCAAGTGGCACTTGCCAGGTATGTGGCACTCAGTTCCTGACCCGCCTCCGATGCCTTGCGCACCTCTGTGACACCAGGCGCACCGCGTGTTGGTCCCAGATCTGTGTCCGCCCCCAGAGTTTCACCAGACTCTCGGCCTCAGAATGCGCTCGCCTGGACGATCACGACAAAGTGCACAGGCGCGAGGCTCAGCGATCCGGCCAGTCTCACGTGCTTGCGGTTGGACGGGCACGCAATGCTGCCAGCGAGGCTGTAGGTTGCGCCAGACGTTGAATCATCTCGCTTGGTTGCCACCTTCCCCAGTAGCCCCAGTGTCTTGTACAGTTGGCTCTGGTGCATTTGCGCTTTTTATCGATAGGACTTGCGACGGATCTGATCCAAGCCTCGAGGAATATATATATATATATATGTATATGTATGTATGTATGTATGTATGCATGCATGCATGCATGCATGCATGCATTTATGTATGTATGTATGTATGTGTGTGTATGTATGTATGTCTGTCTGTCTGTCTGTCTGTCTGTCTGTCTGTCTGTCTGTCTGTATGTATGTATGTATGTATGTATGTATGTATGTATGTATTATATATATATACATATATATATATATATATATATTCGTATGGGCGGATATCGGGACGTTACCAGGTAGCCTGCCATGGTGCTCGCAGGCCATTGTGGTGCTCACGGGCATCCTACGGCGCTCGCATGCGCATTCTGGTGATCTCAGGCGTTCACGGATGGCCATGATGGTGGCGAAGATGACAACGAAGATGGCGATGATGATAATATTGATGATGGTGATGATGATGCTGATGCTGCTGATGATGATGATGCTGATGATGCTGATGATTGCGAAGATGAAGCGAAAAATGACGACGACGATAAGGATGGCCACCGCCTGCTTCGTGGCTAGGGGCGCCCGCCCCCCCTCCAGGAGCACGCCTCGATCACAGAAGTGCAACCAATTGGGGTAAGGTCCTGGCTCCCTCCTCTCTCCTCGTCCTGTCTCCCTTTACTTTTCAGTCAGCTTATCCCTCTGCAGGAGGAATATTCAAAAACCATTTTTTTTTTGGGGGGGGGTATTTCTGGTTGTGTCGAGTATTTTTGATTTGTCGTCCAAAGTCCCCCTGTGGGAGGACATGCCCGACCGAACTTGATTTATTACTGCGGAACTGGGCCAAATCAGAGGCTTCTGTGAACCTGAAAGTGTGGGCATATTTACCATATCACTCATCTCCATCGTCGTCATCGGGAGTCGTCGTCGTCGGACCTATATCCCCATCCAGGGGGGTAAATCGGCCAGCGGGGCCCAGGCCACGCAGATGGGGATGGGGACGGGGATCGGTTAAACGATACTCACATGGAGCCCTGCACACGCCGCCCCGCTGGTCCTGGGCAGACTGTGCTGCCCGGCGGCAGGGGGAGAGGAGGGGAGAGGCAGGCGGACGACGACGAACGCGCTCAAGGGACCCTCGGCGGGCCCAGCCGTGGCCACGAGGGCGCCGCAGGAGGACAAAAGGAGTGCAAGCACGTCCAAAGCCTCGATCCTCGATCGCACCGGGCACCACGGGAGGAGGTCTCCAGAGATCTTCAAGGGAACTCTGGACATGCTTGGCGGTCCTACTAGAGGCCCCCAGTGGCCTCCAGAGGCCCCCCCCCCAGAGGCCAGACTTTGACGAAGTGTCCAGAACCCTCGATCCTCCTCCTCCTCCGCCTCCTCCTCCTCCTCCTCCTTCTCCTCCTCCTCCCCCTCCTCCTCCCTCCTCCTCCCCCTGCTTCTCCTTCCCCTCCGCCTCCTCTTCCTCCTTCTCGTCTTTCTCCTCATCCTCTTCCTCCTCTCTCGACCCTAGGAATGGGTGCTGAAGAAGCGCTTCCGCGACTTTGCCATGTTGGACAGTCAGATTGCGGCGCTTGGCGGACTGCGGTTGAGCCTCCCGTCAAAGGGGATGTTCGATAAGAGCAGCCCAGCGTTCCTGGAGGACGGGCAGCAGCGGGCAAGGAAGATTGAAGAGGAAGATCGAGGAGGATCGAGGAGGAGTAGGAGGAGGAGGAGGAGGAGGAGGAGGAGGAGGAGGAGATCGAGGACCGTGAAAGTGTTTCTTCCTTTTGTGGGCCTCCGGGAGGCTTCACGTTGCCACGGGTAAATTTCCGTCGGAGTTCTGGTCAAAAAGCGCGCGAGGACAGGTCTGGGGGTCGATCTGTTGGGGGAGGGGGCGGAGCGGGGCACCGAATTTTGGCAAGGTGAAATGATTGCGTCGGATTTTTTCGTAGTTAGTATACCTGGGGGCCGATCCAGGGACGTGCTCTACGGTCTGGAGATCCAGGGGCTGGGCTGGCGACTCGACACCAAATGCAGTCGACAGAGGTCTGGGGAGGGAGTCAGACAGGCCTAGGACGAGTGTAATGGTTCCAGGGCATTCCAGAACGTCCCCAGAGCGCTCTATAGCGCTCTGGAATGCCCTTGGCTCCCGACGCATCCTCCACACCCGCCGTGTCCGAGAGAATCCAGTTCTTCCCCAGACCAGGGACTTCGCCTTCTTCCTGCCCTCGTCACAGGGGGTCGATTCGACTTCGCTGGCTTCCCATTCCGATTCGATTCGACTTGGGATTCAGATCTGGGTCCCGGTTCTGAAATTCACCACCCATCAATCCCCCCCCAAACCCAACCCGAAGGCCTGAATTTGCCTCTTGGGACTCCTCTTGGGGCCGTCTTGGGCCTTCTTGGGGCCTTGTTGGGCCCCCTTGCTGGGCTTCTTTTTGGGGGCTCCTGGGGGGGCTGTTGGGGGTCGGGCGCGGCCAGAGGGGGGGGGTCAAATTCTTGGTTTGGGGTCCCAGGAGGGGGGCTTCTGTGGGGGGACGAATTTCACACGCCTACAGGCCCACAAGGGGTCGGCGGACTTGGGATTCCGATCTGGGTCCCTATCCTCAATGGAGGCATACTCGCCTGCCGAGCTCGGCCGATTCGACCTCTTCCCGACTCGGCTGCCGATTTCCGCCGATCCGACTCCTTTCGATCGCCGGTCCCACTTGTCGATTCGATTCTGGGCTCTCCTGTGCCCGCGGGACGCCCACGAGCGTTGGCACGGGCGGCCACGTGCTATCCCTGCCCCACCACCCCACGATTTCGAAGGGGGTAGGTGGGGCTCGCTTCGCTCGGGAGGCCCCGAAACGAAGCGAGCCCCGCCTCCCTATCTAGAACCCCGTCGCAAACGTCAGAAAGACACGTGCCTGCTTTGAGGTAGTTTCTCGTAGATCCCCCTGGGGGATCCAGGCCATTTGCGAGCAGCTACTCTGCGAGTAGTGGAACGCGCTCGTCGATGTAAGGTTAAGTCGGGCATGCCCCCCTACATGGGGATTTTGGACGAAACGCCAAACATACCCCAAACATATCTGAACATGGCTAAAATAGTCAAAAAATCGTCCCCAGACTATTTTTTGACTATTTGTGAGTACCCCTCCTGCCGAGGAACGCGCTCGTCCACTGTAAGGGGGACAGGCCCGACCCAGCACCGCCTCGGGGAGCCCGCCCGCCGCACGAGGCGCCCCCACGGGCGCGGGCACGGGCCCGCCGCGTGGCGCGGGCGCCGGGAGAGCCGCCCCAACGCCTCTCGCGAGGCTCGGGAGACCTCCTCCTCCTCCTCCGCCTCCGCCGCCTCCTCCTCCTCCTCCGCCTCCTCCTCCTCCTCCTCCGCCTCCTCCTCCTCCTCCTCCTCCTCCTCCTCCGCCTCCGCCTCCGCCGCCTCCTCCTCCTCCTCCGCCTCCTCCTCCTCCTCCTCCGCCTCCTCCTCCTCCTTCTCCCCTGGGCGACGCTGGGGCTCGGCAAGAGACGAGGGTCAATGCAAACGGGGGTCAGCCAGAGCGTCAAGTCGGGCGTGCCCCTCTGCAGGAGGAAGATTCAGAAGTGGTCAAAAAATACTCTGAGGACGATCTTTTGACTACTTTTGAGAATGTTAGGATCATTGGACCATGTTTTCAATTTTCGTCCAAATTCCGCCTGTAGGGGGACATGCCCGACCTAACCAGAGCGCTGGATCTTGCAGGATCCTGCAGGGCCAGGGCTGCATTGACCCGGGTCTGGGTGCAGGATCTTGCAGGATCCCTCGCGTTAACCCGGGCTTGGGCGCAGGATCTCGCAGGATCTTGCAGGATTCTGCAAGGCATGACTGACCCAGGTCTGGATTGACCCGGGTCAGACGATCCCCGACTCTCGTGTGGCGCGCGAGAACCACGAATTCCAAGCATTTTTGTTGGGTGGAGGGC